CCCCGGAATTTATGTCTCTGGCCTGACGGACAGAATTCAGCTTCATAGAGGTATAAAACAGGGCTGTGTCTTGTCACCAATTCTTTTTGCATTATATGCCAAGCCACTAGCGCAAGCAGTGTAGCAACACCCAAATGTAGTGGGAGTTACTCTAGTCAGACATCAGATTATTTACTGATGATATCGTTTATTTTCTTACGTGATCCTGAGAAATGTTTTCCAATTCTGATGCAATTATTCCATACTTACGAACACCTATCGGGCTACAAAATTAATGTATCCAAAACACAAATTCTATCATTTAACTATACACTGTCTCAAAAGATTAGAGACGAATATAAACTAAAGTGGCACTTGAACACCATGAAATATTTGTGCATAACATTGACAAAATCATTATCCGCTATGTTTGAGACAAACTACAACCAGGTGGAAGGTAACATAAAAAAGAACGGTGGTCAACAATACCTACAAATTTCTACTCTAGAATCAAAATAATAAAGATGAACGTTCTCCCAAGATTGCTATACTTGTACCAGTCACTCTCACCTCCTATACCTCAAAGTAAATTTAAAATATGGGACAAAATAATCTCAAGGTTTTTAATAAGATGGGAAAACGCCAAGAACAAGGTTAACAATACTGCAACTCCTGAAGTGTAAGGTAGGGATGGCTTTGCCCAATCTAAGGGAATACTTTTACACAGCTCAATTTAGACCCCTTGTTTGTTGGTGTAGAACAGACTATGAGGCATGGTGGAAAGAAATTGAGAGAGAAATTGAGGGAAACAAAATACAAATTTTTATTTCCGACAAACAACTAATAACCTCTTATAAAAGTAGAATGAACCAATTCGTGAAATTTACATTAGACATATGGCACACAGTAATAGATAAATGCCAGTTAAAGGAAAATTTTTTTTTACTGAGATGGTTCAGACACGATAAAAATTTGATCAGACGTTTAAGCAATGGGAGTTAAAAGGGATTACAGCCGTTTGTACACTAATGAAAAATGGAACACTAATGAGTTTCCAACAACTAAAAAATAAATACAAATTGGAAAATAGAGACTTTTTTAGATACTTACAAGTAAGTGACTAGTGTGCAAAACAAATAAAGACCGACTGGTTTGAAAAACCATTGGGTATAATCGGACTACTGACCACTTGCTATGAACAAAAACTGTTCAAAGCAATATCCACGTTCTACAGATTATTAGAAGAAGGTAGACAGGATACAACCTTTTACCTTAAAAAGAAATGGGAAACTGAACTGACAACAAATATAACAGAGAAGGAATGGTTCATTATCTGTGAGATACAACACAGTTCAACGAATTTGCCGTTGTGGAGGGAATTTTGCTAGAAAAATTTGACCCGTTTTTTCTTTACACCCAAAATTAAAAGCAAACAGGTCTTAACTCCACATAAATGTTGGAGATTGTGTGGAGAAATTCAGCTGATCATTCACAGGTATTTTGGAAGTGCATAAAAATAAAAAAGTATCGGGAAGATCTTAAAATGAACATAAATAATATTCCAGGTTATGCACTCCCAAACACCTGTCAAGTAATGTACCCTGGAAACATAAAGGGACTGGTAAATAAGGAGGACATCTATCTAGTAGAAATAATTCTAGCCACAACAAAGAAAGCAATCACAAAGAACTGGTTACAACCAGACCCTCACACTCAACAAGATTGGATTAGGATTTTGGAAGGAATCTCAGAGATGGAAAGAATTACATACAATATTAGACTGATTGGGTGTAAATAAGATAGACAATGGGGGAAGTGGAAAGCATTTTGAAGTGGTACTAAAAACAAGACATAATAAGAGATTTGCATGCAATGGAAGGTGAAAAAAAGAAATGTTGATCATGTCTGTGCTATTTAGAGCTCAGAGAAGCAGACACAATTTGTGAAGTCAAAATGTGTCTGCTTCCTGAACCTGTTGGTTAATGAGACGTCGAATGGCCGATTTAATGAATTCAAAGTAAAACTACTCTGTGTCCACCGGAATTCAGACTAAATGGAAATAAGGTAAGAAATGGCCAAAGGATATAAGCAGGAAGCTTCACTTTTCACATTATGTGAACTTTACTCTGACTTTGACTCAGTCTGAGCAGTTGGACGTCATATTTCTGGAGTGAACACATGAAGGTGTGGCCCTCTTACACGCTTCAAGTGTAGTCCCGCCTCCTTACAGGAAGCAGCTCACCTGTGTGTCCGTGTTTAGTGTCCAGGTGTGGAGTGGAACTTGTTGTTGGTGTGTGTGTTTGAAGAAACTGTAAGTTTGCTTTGTTTCCTCCTTTAAAAGTTTGTCTTTAAAATCTTTTGTGCTCTGAAGCAAATATCTACTCTGAGGGTTTGATGGATTTGTTTTTTGTTCATGACACTAAATTGAATAGTTTCAGACTGATGACGCTGCAGTTAAATCCTTAACTGATATTTTATTGAAAAGCAATCGGTCTAGAAGATAACTTTGAGTCTAAAAATTAATGAAATGTTTAACTCTGATTGGCTGGCCACATTAATCCTGAACTCACAGACACAGAGCGTTAGAGGATGGAGGAGGGTTCTTATTATTATTTGGGGCGACCATGGGTTGGGACGTTCATCTTGTAACCGGAAGGTTGCTGGTTTGATCTCCAGCTTTGTCTGTCTTGGTCATTGTGTCCTTGGGCAAGACACTTCACCTACCGCCTACTGGTGATGGCCAGAGGGGCCGATGGCGCGATATGGCAGCCTCGCTTCTGTCAGTCTGCCCCAGGGCAGCTGTGGCTACAACTGTAGCTGCTCTACCAGTGTGTGAATGTGAGAGTGAATGAATAGTGGTATTGTAAAGCGCTTTGAGGGTCTCGAAAAGCGCTATACAAATGCAATCCATTATTATTATTATTATTATTATTATTATTATTATTATTATTAACAGTGAGTCAGTGTGTGTCAGTGAATGCATTGTTTGTGCTTCCCAGCTCCATCTAGAAGACTGATAGTAGAAGTAGAGCAGCTGATGGCAGCTTCCTCTGCCTCACACTGCTGTCTGACTGCATTCAGCTGATGCTAAGATGAAGCAGGAAAGAAGCAGCTTGGGGACATTTGGACAGCACACATGATGGAAAGGAGGATTTCAGTTGATGTGCACATGAATGATTTGTGGTTCCTCTGCAGGTGAAGGTAGAAAGTGTGTGTGAGCTGATGTGAATGTAAATTCAGCAGCATGGATCAGTGTGAGGACAGAGAGGAGGGAGTCCCTCCCTCTAAAACCACTCTAAGTGGGGAACATGAGAACCAGACCAAAGCTCAGAGGTGAGATGAACCCAGCTGTGTGTCCTTACTTTCCTGAAAATTGTTGCGTTGATTTTATAGCCAGAAACCCCCTCCACAAAAAACAAAAAACCCCAGAGTCAACATATTTCAAATAGTACAGAGCCCCGCAAGGGACATGGGAAAAAAAAAAAAGAAGATGAAGTTTTATGAGATCTCGCAAAACTTTTGCTATATTTGAAGTTTACACAGCTACATTCTCGCCTGAAAATATTGTAAACGTTTATTTTGTGACCCAGAAAGAGTATTAAAACTAAGTAGCCGCCGCCATTGTTGGAAACTGGAATTTGCTGGGCCGCGCTTTGAATTCTGGGAGAGGTGACGAGCCAGACTGTTGGAATAGAGACAACCAATGGCACACAAAACAAGACGAGACAGCACTCTTTCACTTGCAAGGGAAGCTGGCAAAGGCCAAGAGCTGTTCACCCTTCACTTGAACTTAGCCAACCTTGAACCTGGCTTCCTTTGCAGCCCTTTTATTGAGTGAAAGCAGTTACATTGGAGACAAGCGTATGGGAGCAACGTCAGCGTCTGTGTGTGTGTGTGTGTGTGTGTGTGTGAATGTGTGGGTGTTATCCCCGCCATACCATACAAAGCATGACTTCTTATCAACGTTTCCAGTCGCCCCCACACAGGATTCAACATTTCAATGAACTTAACACACACGAGACATATATATAAGTCAGAGTCTCGCTGAACTATAAAAACCGGAAATTGCAAAAATTCATGCTTGCAATGGAAATGTTCTGAAGCTGAAAACAAGTCTTCTTATCATCTAGCTCTTTCTGCACAATGACAACCATATTAGGACACATAAAAGCAATGGTTATGTCTCTTTGCACAAATGACAATCTTAAAATAATCAACTCTAACAAAGGCGGCGAAGGCTATCCCAATTCAAAGGCTGTTACAAATGTGTCCCTCCTTGCCCAACTCCCAGCACATCGTGCCTCGACCTCCTGGTCAGCTTCACGCTGGCAGCCTCCGAAGGATGCGGCCTATTTTGCAAGATCTCACAAAAGTTTTGCGAGATCCTGAGTTACTTTTGGAAGATCTCAAAAAAGTTCATCTTCATTTTTTTCTCCCATGTCCGTTGCAGGGATCCGTAAAATAGAGTGGAATGAATGATTTTAATTAATTATTTTAGTGCTGAGTTGAAATTACAACTGAATTGTTAAAAAAATGAGGAAAAATGCAACAATTTGTTCTAAAAAAAAATCTTCATCATACAAAATAATTCAGTGTTTCTATAATGATTAGTTCATAGAACAAGATCTATAAGTATAACATACAGTTGATGTAACAGATCACAGATCATTTCTTTAGGTCTTAACAAGTCTATTTTCCATTTTTCAGTATTTTGACTCTCATATTTTATAGTTCAGAGATGGAGGAGTCTGTTCATGAGCAGCCCCTTGAAATGCTGGAGAATTTGGAAGTGGAGGAACTGGAACCTTTCCACTCCTACCTACAGGATGTACCTGTAACCATCAATAAGTGCCAACTAGAGAATGCAGACAAACTGGAAACTAGAGATCTGATGGCGCAGACATATACTAATGACCATGTGATGGAAGTGGCGACATCAATTTTGAAGAAGATGAAAGGTCAGTCAGAGGAAAAAGACATGAAACCCTTGGTGCAGTATGAAGACACAGAACTGGCAATTGTATCTCGTGAAATGTATTAAAAATTTACTCTGTATTAGTTTGATTTTAGTCTAGATTTGTGACTTAAAATTAGAGATGTGCAAAGCAGCTGATATTTGTATCTGTATTTGTATTTGTTGAGGGGGGAAAGGTATTTATATTTGTATTTGTATTCGAGTAAAATTCAAAATAGGCATAAAATTTTTGTGTTACACTTCTAATTAATGTTACAGAGTAAGTATTCTTTAATTATATCCAATATAATAATTATGAATATGCAGTATTAGTTGATGTTTTCCCATAAATGTAACGTCATTGAAAAGAAAATAGCATAACAGCCATTGCCTCATCCATGGTTAAACCAACAACTAATAAAATACCATTGGAACATTATGAACCCCCCCACCACCCGTCCTCTTGGAGGACGCTGAACAGACAATGAAACTGACTTGCAGGGGCAGAACATGGCTGTGATGATGAATTGGTGCTGGAAGAGGGGTTGGTGTTTGGGGGGGGGGGTCCTCTCAGTACCAGGAGAGGATGCTTTAAGCTCATGTGATTATGCAGATGTTTGATATCTCTGCGTTTCACCTAAGTTAATGAGTGACGGGAAGCTATGCTAAGGTTAACTGGCCTATAGTCTACATCTTAAACGTACCATATAACTCACACAAGTGCATACAATTCAACACAACTACACAAGCATTGTTTTAACCTTTTTAACCGAACGTTAAGGTTACTCTGTCAACAGCCTGTTGTCTAAATTACCGAGCTAACAGAGCTACGTAAACAGAGTGAACATGAGAGCACTGCAGACGTCAATAATGCAGCGTAATGGAATAATCTCCCGATGTTTGCAAAAGTTATAATCTGCCTCCAGAACCCAGTTAAGGTGTAAAAAAATCTATTAAAAAAAAAAGAAAAACTGATTCAGTTCAGTCTTTTTTCGCTCAGCCAAGCCTTCTCTGTTGCTGTGTGAGGCAGCCCGTGTCAGTCACCTCTTTCACATATCACTCACTCATCTGGGCATGCACTGCGGTCTCATAAGGAAACTCAGCTTTTTGATATAAAGTTTTTCCTTGTTCCCAAATACAAATATTTTTTAAAGTATTTGTTCGAAATAAATATTCGTAAAAAACACGTTATTTGTGCCTCTCTGAACACCGTATTCGGGTTCAGCTACACCCCTACTTCAAATCATGTTTGCAGGCAGATATTTTCATGTTGTTTTGAAGCCTCACAACTTTTTACTCTCAAAATACCAGTTTTATCATTCGTGATCTGCTGATAATATAACAGAGCAGCTAAACCGGTTGTGTCAGTTTGAGTCCAATGAGGCCAACGTGCTGAGATGAGTGTCTTCCTCACCTGCCCCTATCAGTGTGGGACTAACTTTTGCTTGACATAGTGGAAACTGTAGATCTGATGGTGCAGACATATACTAATGACCATGTGATAGAACTGACTTCATCAATTTTAAAGATGAAAGAAGGTCAGTCAAAGGAAAAAGAAGACAAAGCCAGTTTTTCTATTCAAAATGTGCTTGTTCCTTCAACAGGACATTCCTCAACCCAGGGAGCGTCACCATTATCACCAGAAGGTAAGAGTCAACATCAGCTATGGAAAAGCTAAACCTACACTATTACACATCATCACTGACATCACTGGGAATCAGGCAGGAAAAGAGGTCAAAGTCTTTAATCCCATGGGATACAAGCTGATATGGGCATTTGGATGTGGATTAAAATTTCAGATCAAAAATTCATGAAATTATTCATTCAAGATCCAATAAAGTGAAAAAAAGTTACTTTGTCATATTTATACCAGACCTGAGGAACTAAGTGCTGACACTGATGCTTAGAACAGGTTTACGGTCCCCGTTGGACAGAAGAATTAGCCCTGATGAGCAGAGAAAGGTCCAATCTGAATATGGGGCAGACCAGGTGAGAAATGTGGTGGAGAGCAGAAAGGCAAGCAAGTAGGTCTGAGATGGATCTTCCTTTTTGTGGGTAAGAATTTTGAGATGTGTTGATAGAAGTGGAAGCCAGTAATAGTCTAACTGAGGAGTCTCTGAAACGGAGGATACGGGAGTCTTGTATTATTGTAGTCTTTACCTTGCAATATAAAGTGACTTGGGGCAAATGTTGTTGTGATTTGGCACTAAATAAATAAAATGGATTTGAAGGAGAGTTCGTCCGCTAGTCGAACCTCAGATACAGGAGGAACAATGCGGTTTTCGTCCTGGTCGCGGAACACTGGACCAGCTCTTTGTCCTCTCAAGGATACTTGAGGGTGCATGGGAGTTTGCCCAACCAGTCTACATGTGTTTTGTGGACTTGGAGAAGGCATTCGATCGTGTCCCTCGGGGTGTCCTGTGGGAGGTGCTGCGGGAGTATGGGGTGTCTGGCCGATTGCTACGGGCCATTCGATCCCTATACAACCGTTGCAAGAGCTTGGTTCGCATTGCCGGCAATAAGTCGGACTCGTTCCTGGTGGGTGATGGGCTCCGCCAGGGCTGCCCTTTGTCACCGATTCTGTTCATATTTTTTATGGACAGGATTTCTAGGCGCAGCCAAGTGGCAGAAGGCTTTCACTTGGATGGTCTCAGGATCTCATCTCTGCTTTTTGCAGATGATGTGGTTCTGTTGGCTTCATCGGGTGA